CTTGTTTTTTTAAAAATAAAACAAAATGTAGCCCAAAACTAAGTCGATGGGCCGCCCCAAATGGTACTCAGACTTGACAGTATTAAAAATGGCTGAAAGTACGGACAATCTTATAAATGTGTATTTTTCCGTTTTAAATCATAAAAGCATCAAGGACAACAAAATCATCCGAGTAAACTCCCCTTTTTAGCAATTCCAAGTTTTTCTTCAAAGATAATTATTCAAGTGCAACAATCATATCAAAATCATCACAAGTCCCAAACCTTTAATTAAATGGTAATTCCTGTCACAATATTAAAATACTGACTTGAAAATCCAACTAGTCCAAAATCACATCCTCGAGCCCAACAAACAATATCAACAAGTTTATTAGCTCAAGAGTACCACATAAACAATCAAACCATTTAATACAAACAAAACATGCAACAACCTAAGTTACACGCTACCTAGAAGCCATTTGTAAGTATACTATACGATACAAACAACAAGGATCAACCTAAGCTAATGTCTTCCAGTTAAAAATACACTAAGCAACCTAACAATGGTCATAAATCGACTAAGGATCAAGTAAGTCTAAACTAATATAAACTCCAACCTGATCATACAATACTACTCACAATCCAATTAATATAAATAATCCAAGTCTAAGAAAAGGAAAATTGTAACCTACTTCAAGGAAAAAACCATACAAGAACAACTCGGGTGCTTTCCACTTATAAAGGGACTCAAAATGATGCAATATATCAACGACACTACGAAAACGGAAAAACAAGCACTTGGCTAAAACTCAAAAGTTAAAATACTTAGCGATACAAACACAAAATGAAAGCTTTGAAATTTAAACCAACAATCACTCTAGACCAAAAGTACCCTTTCGAAGCTGATGGAATATAAAAAGTCCTCATTCGACATCAAAATCTCAGAATGTTTATTAAAGTCGATTCTTTCATACCTTAAGCCACAATCAGGGGCGGAGCCACGTAGGCTTGGACACCCTTAGTCGGAAAAAACGTTATATATATACGTAAAATTTTAATTTAATGTTGGTATATATAAAAGTTGAATCCCCTAAAACAACTAAGTAAGACGCAGTGAAGTTGTCATAACTGGCGCATCCCTACACTTTGCTCGGGTTTGATTCCCCATGGGGTGTTTCATTTTTCTTTAATTATTTTTGACTTCTTGAATTTAATTAATTAAAAATACATGCGTAGTTTTAGCATAAATATGTAGTAGCGTGTTGGTCAATTGTGTCATTAATCCATCTAGAGACGTTGAATCCCTTCCAACACACTAAATATTTTTTTCCAATTTAAAAGTGAATTATTTCCTAAAATTTAATGCTTTTAGGTTTTCTTTCTCTATAAATAGGAGAAACAGTAACCACATTATATCACCATATTATTAAGAATAGAATCTCAATTATTCTCTTTTTTTTCTTCTTCTTGTTCGTTTATTTTATAACAAAATAACCAACTTAATATTTTGAACAACACTTATGATCTTAATATATCACTACAGAAAAAGGAACAAGATATTGCAAACGACATGATACTGGTTGAAGTAGCCAAGAAAAAGCTTCAAAAACTAAGAGATGATGGATGAGAGCCACTTATAAATAAAATATCTTTATTTTATATCAAACATGACATCTTGATATTCAATTTTGATGAGCCCTATGCTAACTCTGGAAGATCACGACGTAAAATTGTTGATCATACTATTTTACTTCATTTTCGTGTGGAAGTATTTCATAAGATAATTGATTGGCAACTCCAAGAACTCAATGATCGTTTCAATGAGGTGACAAGTGATTTTTTTTTATAGAGTAGCTTGCTTGAATTCAGTTAATTTATTTTCTAGTTTTGACATCGAAAAAATAATGAGAATGTCTGAACTATATCCTAATGACTTTGATCAATTTAGTATGGGCATCCTTCAAAATCAACTTGTCAATTACATTATCAATGTACGCGATACTGATAAAAGATTCTATAATTTAGGTGGACTTGGTGAACTTTCAAGAGAATTGCTAGAGATAAAGAAAAACTTAAATTATCTATTTATATTTCTCTTAGTGAAATTTGCTTTGCTTTAGCAGTTGCTACTGCAACCATCGAAAGAGCTCTCGACAATGAAGTCCATTAAAAATGACTCGCGAAACCGAATGGATGATGAGTTTTTAGACGGTTGTATAGTGTCTTATGTAGAAAAGAAAGTATTTCGTACTATTTCTAATGAGTCTATTATAAAAACATTTCAGGATATGAAACCTCGTCGAGTACAACTGTAAAAATATTTTTGAATTATGTTTTCAATAGTAATTTATTTTCTTTATGTCAGTTTTGAATTATACAATTGTAATTCTATTAAAAATATTCTTATTTTGAATTAAATATTACTTAACTTGATTATTTGTTTTGGTAGTTTAAATTATCATTTTATTTTTTAAAAAAATACTATTAAAAGTTTGAACACCCTTAATGAAATTCATATGCCACTAGCGTCAATAATGGAAAAACCAACTGAAAGCTCATTCGACTATACCAACACTATATAGAAGATACAAGGAAGCTACGAAAAGAGGTAAGTAATAAGCATGCAAAAACACCGAAATGACCTCAATGGCCATTACACTTTAACTCTTCAAATAATTTGAAGTTGTTTGAATTGTACGATATTGTTGGACTATTTTATCCTTGAGAGGACAAGTCATATGTGTTATTGTTGCATCGGCGTAGGTTATTACATAGTGGGCCTGGATCTTTTTAAAAAGACTGAATATCCGTGCCTCGGTCTGAATATATTTTTGTTATTTTATTTCAACTGTATCTTATTGTATTTGTGGTATATTACATGCACCAACAATTTAAGGAGATTTAGTCTTTATTACACTTTGAAAAATTCTGAATATCAAGATATGAGATCTCAACATCATTACACTCAAATCGCTTTCTTCAAAAGATGAAAGTTAAGAGATATGCGATAAAGTATTTTTCTACATAATAAATTCAAGCAGAGAAATGATAAGAAAATATATTTTTTACCTAAATTTTTTCATGAATAAAATGATACCATTTTTCATAGAAAAATGATATTTAAATATTTAAAATAGCGAGGATTAATGAAATGACAAATATTTTTTATTGTGAAATTGTGATTTTTGTATTAATTCTCTAAAAAAAAGTATTAAAAGGGCATATATTTAACTTTGACTAAATCACATATTATTACATATATTTTTGCGATTTTTGCTATCAAGAAATAATTGAAAGAAGAGAAACTTACAAAAAAAATTTATATATAGAGTTCTTGAAGTTCAATAGCTATAAGTATGTTATCAACAAAAATTAACTATAATTTATGCATTTTGTTAAAGCCGACAAACATTATTTTTTTTTGATCAATTTTCTTAGTAATACTTGAGGTTCAATGTTAACTCAAATATTATCTTATAAAAGTACAATATTAGTGTATCTAACTATACTTATATTTTTGAATGAACCTTTTAGATTGGGTAAAATATTTATGTATCCAGATACATTGTATTTCAAATCAACGTTTCACATCGTATTTATACAAAAATATAAACAAGTGTCTATATATATAAGTATTCTACTATATACAAAAGTAGATGATAACACTAACATCAATCTCTTGTCGCTCATGTTCGTCGTGTGTTACTATTGTTCATAACTATATATACATATGTATTGAAATACACTTGTATTACAAAATTACCATTTCAACTTGTGTTAATATTAAATATATATATATATATATACATATATATATACATATATATATATATACGTATATATATATATATATATATTTTTAATTTTAACACAAGTTGAAATGGTGATTTTGTAATACAAGTGTATTTCAATACATATGTATATATAGTTATGAATACACGCGCGCGCACAGAGACAGAACCCTCCATCTTTTTTTTCCTCATGTTCTTCCTGTTCTCACTATTCCACAACTATATACATATGATTCAAAATTCTATATTAATATAATCATAACTTGAAAACATGGAGATTGGATGGGTTCATTGGACCAAATACTAATCTTCAATGGAGTAATTGAGGCTCAGTTGAAACCCTAAGTTGAATTATTCGTCTTCTTCAAGTTTTAAATAGAGAAATATTTGAGAGAGTTCATTTTGATTAACTGAAAGATACTGAAAAATTTGGGAGTCATAATCCTTGATGAAAGGCAAGATGTTGCAGTGCAGGAGTTAATTGATTGGAAACAGACCCAAATGCCCAAAAAGTACTATCAGCTGCCCACCGACAGCCACTGATTACGGACTGTCATTCATGGTCAGAAACTCAATTTGTACCACGGGCCTCAACCACGAAGAGTGGTCCCACCGACCGGACCCGACCGTTGTGACCCCTTCTGGAAAGTGCTAGTGGTCAACCACAGATTCACCTACGATTTGTATTCCCATCCACTGGCTGTAGGTGGCCAGCGTGGGTTGGTACCTTCAACTTCTGAAGTCGGCCCTCTTGGGGTATTACATTATATTTGGAAGAAATCTGATAAATTTAGATTTATCATATTATTATTATCATCATATTAACAACAGTCAACCGGGATGCATTATTGGTCATTCTTAAGCTAATATAGAACTAATCTAAACATACATGAGTCTAACCAAAGAATGGAATATCAGGCTACACTATTCTTGGCAAGGGAATTCAATGGCACAACAATCTTCTGATAATATATGTGAGACTATTGCAAGCTTGAAACATAAATAAAATGAAGGCAAGTAAAGTAGATAATGAGACCATATGCAAGTGTGATCAAAATTAACACCGATGGGAGTTTCATGAAAAATATCAACAAAGCAGATATATATTGTTCTGCTTTATCACCAACATTCTCGTAGTAATGGACTACGGTACTAGCTGAAATCGAGGAGAAGAGGCACACAAAAAGAGAGGTAAAGACGTGATTAAAAAGACCAAGAACTGCCCTTTCCATTTGTTCCATCGAGGTTGAAGTGCTAGATATCTCTAATTTGAATTGTTATATTTATTAAAACCAAATACAGAGCCACATAAGCTGCAGCAACTTGCGTTACCAGAGGAATGAGGGTCAAATATTCAGATTGCACTAGTTGTGACGACTGGCTTTTACCCAAAAACCTATTGCCTGTGGACTGGGCTAGCTATTGAGACAACAGATACAACCTCCATTTATTGATAATATAATTAATATATACATAAGTTTTATAATCCTCAATGAACTTGTGTTTATTCATCATCAAGTAAATGACATTGTTCATAGACTGGCACATGATATATCCTTGTTAATTAGCTGCTTTTGGGGTTTTCCTTGGGTGGCTTCACAATGAGAATAGGACATTGCACATGATGAGCACAATAGTCGCTCACACTACCCAAGAAAGCCCTGCAAAACAACCTTAATATTACATACAAAAACAATCTAACAAGAGCAATTAACTTCATATGTTGCACATACAATCTACAAGTAAGGACGTCTCATCACTGGTATATGCCTCAATTATAATTTAGATTCTCTGTTAATTTAGTGAAAACTTTAACATGTCAGATTTTAGAAATTTCATGTGTAAAAGAATATGGAGATGAAGCAACGAAAGTCCATCGAGGAACAGGGGTGTTCATATTTGACTCAGGGACCTAAGCTCTTTTTTTATTAAGTATGAATGTAAAATAAAAGCTCAAGGCCAGATTGTTCTCTTCAGTCTTATCATAAGATTACCCACCTTACCTTTGCAGATGATATTCTCGCACAAGTAATGTGTATATATGTTTTGTATGCAGAGAGAGAATTGTGGAAGCTTTAAAACATATTTCATAGATTGGACTATTATCTCTTTAATTATGCCCACATATTTCCTCCCGAGATTCAACTTGTCGCACAACCCTGATTTATTGGTGAAAATACTTTGATATATATCACTAAGACATACAAATTAAATATGGCTACTTTATAAATATAAAGAATTGAGCTTATTCTATATTTACATGGGATAATCCTATTCCAATAATGTAATGAATGTGTTGGGCGAAAAGAAAATGAACCTTTTAATCTTGCCAAGTCCTCGGCTACCGATTACTAGAAGGTCAACGTGCAATTCATGTGCAGTTTGACATATCATATCTTTTGGGTCCCCTTCTACAATCAGAGTCTCCGCCTTCACCTAAACCCAATCATAAAATTAGCACAAAAATATATATATATAAGCAACCAGAAATATATTGTGATACCATCTTTTGTTGGCAGAGATGGAGTGCCCGAGAGAGTATTCTAGTTGCATTCTCCTGTTGTCCTTTTCTCACAGCTTCAACAACAGTAGGTGTTGCAAAGACAACTATAAATATATAAAAAAAAACAATTACTTCACCCTCCCTCCCAAATTAAATATTTTAGTTTCATTGCATACAATTTTTTATCTTTTTAGATAAAAGATCTGATCCAATAAGTAGAAATACATACATACCAGGTCCAGCAGGATAAACCATGGGTGTAAAAGGAATTTGGACATTGATGAGAGTGATGATAATAGAAGGATCATTGATCAAATTATCTAATGCCCATTTCAAAGAATAGAAACTCTCTTCACTCTCATCGATAGCCACCATTATCATCTTCTTCCTAGTAACAGGAGTATCACTAGCTGCACTTGTCTCCGCCTCCATGTATTCTCTCTTGCCGCGTGCGTTTGATCACTAATTCTCTACTCTTTATTTTTATTTTTTTTTATAAATATAAATATTGCTTTCTCCTTCAATTATTTTCGAGCTGTTCTAATTTAATTTTGTTGTGTTTTGGGATGAGAATTTCATATAGAACTAAAAACTTTGACGTGGCAGATATGCATGCCAAAACAAGAAAAGTGTCATTTCCACATGACAAAGCTTGCCACGCTTGTGTCAAATCTCGAACATTCTTCTCCGCATCTTTATCCTAGCTTCTCCGTGGTGTGTGCATAGATTGATTCGATTTAATTTGTGTATTATTAATTTAGTTCATTAATTTTTAATTTTTAAATATGTTAAATTAATATAATTTAATAAGATATTTTTTATTAGTTTTTGATTATTATATATTTGATTTTAGATTTATTTAATAAAAAAATATCTCCAAAATATTATATGCCTTTTCACTTCTCAAAATATTTTGATAGAGTGAAACAAGAAAGATAATGACAAATTTCATCAATAAGAGAAAATATAGTACAAAAGCATATAATTACTGTTACCATTAAAATATAGTATGAATTTTTTTTATGTTTAATCAAATTACGAATCTTTACCAAGTTACAAATATTACAATCTATGATTACAAACTAAAATTAAAATCAATAGCTATAATTGAGAATCCCTTACTTCAATTTTTGGGTTGTGAGTAAACAGTAAAAACTAGTAAAACGGTCTAGTGTGAAATTGGTAGAGTACTAATCATTTGATATAGTTATAGCTAGTGTCTAATTATATTTTAAATCATTTGGAATAGTTATAGCTAAATATACATATTTATGTTTGCTATGGAGCTTATGCAAACCATAGTTATAATATACAAATATGATTTGTGTTCGCTATATGTGAAAGTTGCTCTAAAAGTAACCATAAATTATATATAAAATTGCCTATTTATTCCATAAAGTGGACAAGTGTTGTTGGACATTCAAAAATAGTATAGGGCACGAATAATTATTATTAAACGGGGGACTTTATTTTTTCTAATCTTGTAAAAGTATTATTGTTTTTTTAATCTCCAAAAGAATACATGAAAAACATATAAATATAAACTAATAATATATAAAATTATTATAGAAAAATAATAAAATAATTTGTTTAAATGAGACGTAACAAACATATGAGATACGTTAATGATTAATATGCGATATAATTTGATATGAAGCACGTTTTATCATTTTAAATTTATGTTTTATTCCTCTTTCTTTTGTAGACATAATTTGTGTTATAGGGAAGTTAGTTACTGTTTGGGTTCGATGCTGTTGATTTTCTTTGCGAAATATAGAAAAAATTGAATTGAAATCTGTGTGGATACCAATCCATTTAAGAAATTGAATTGCTTCTTTAAACGAACTCTCATGTAAATATTTAGAAACTATCAGTGCTGAGTGATCATAGAATAAATGAAATATTATTATACAAATAGTGAGGGAGGATAGATGCTTAACAAAATCCTCTGTCAATTGATTTTGTAAACGCACAGAAAAATCTGATAAATCTGTGAGCTGATATTGAAAATTATTTTTTGTGCTAAAAGTGTTGCTTAATGTTGTTGATGTGTACCTTAAATAATTATTTGCAAAATCAGTTTTTACATATTATATTGTAATCTTCATTCTGTTGATTTAGCCATCACATCCATGGGTAAACCTCCACCCATATTTCATATGCTTTAAATTTTATATACCCTATAAAAAATAATTATTCCCATACAATTCAAACCACTTTTGAATTTCTATACTAACTATATGTTATTTCACTTACCTTATATTTTTCTAACTTCATTAAATTTCTAATAGGAAAGTGAAATACAAGTTATCATATATGGTACAGATATCTCATATTATGGAAATGAGTTTGTTCCTTTCCAAACATATTTGCTATCGGGGGCATTTGTCTCTGAGTCAACCAAGGCGTATGGAAATCATCTTCATCAATTCAGATGGACAATTGATAAAGGCATAATTTTTGAACTAATAGATCAAGTTATACCCCCTGAACCACCATTGATTTCACCGACGTTGCTAAAAACTACATCGTTTAACAATTTCGACCATCAAACTATAGGCTCTGAATTCTGTACTTCTCAAATATCTTAACACTATACTTACCACACATATAATTCATTTTTTCATGACTATTACAACTTACTAATAACTCTTTAATTTCTACAAGATATTCTTGCCCTCGTGATAAATGGTAGCCCTCCATCATATGCCACAAATGCAGAGAAAAATTCAAGAATTCATTGTCATTGACTATGAGTAAGTAAAATTTTACTTTCCAATTTTTCAAAACTGAAAATTGTTATCTAAAACTCGAGATGCTAAGACATGTGCGATCATGTTTTCCTTTATAGCTATATACCAACTGTCACTTTTAAATTACCTCTTCTTCTATTTTTTTTTTGGCCGGCTGGTTTAAGTCCAAATCACAGTCGAAATATCTTTTTGAAAGTTAAGTCTTGGATGATTCTTGATTTTATCGCACTATTAAAAATGAAAGAAAGCTGAGTTTTTATGTTGCCAGCAGAATATATCAATCAAATGAACTGACAAACAATCAATAATTAGTATAATTAGTTGATCTGATTTAAAGTTGATAAATCTAAAACTCTGGTATATTAGTTACAAAAATATTTGTATAAAGAATTTCGTTTATCAACCTTGACACAAACATGGTTTGTTGCTTATGTGTTGACTATATTTACTGTTGTTTTGCTACTCGTGGAACAATACATTCACAAGTTATCTAATGTAAGTAAAGTTCTCTTTTGCATGTCTACATTATGTAGTATTATTGGTTTTATTAACTTATACCGGAAATAGCCTCTCTACCTTAGAAGTAGGAGTAAATTAGTACCAGAGAATTCATAGTCTACTATATATACAAAATAATAATGCAATTTTCAAGCCAAATGAATTTAGACTGACTTAATATACCTGCTAAACTTGCCCTAGATTTACATTCTTTGACAGTTGCTTATATATAACAAGTTCCCTTGAATAGGGAGTGAACATACAACCTTTTCAAGTCATTCCAAAATTTTGCTTTGGAAATCACCCCAGCGCATCTTTGTATTTTATAACAATTTCTGTTTTGGATCATCAGAATACTATGTTCTTGCAGATTCCGCCATAAGCCAATTGTGTCTAATACAAGTATACAATTTACTTTAGTTTCTATACAAATAGTTTTTGTTTCTTATTTTGTTGCTAAATAAGTATAGTTTATTATTTATGATAAATAAGCAAAAATGTTATCGCAACAATCAAAATGTGTGCACCACATATAAAAAAAATTGTTTTTCCATGCCATTAACGAAAAATATGCATGAAACATTGAGATGCCTCTCTGTAAATGTTTGTAGAGTCAACAAATTCATCAAATATTTGAAGAAAATCTGGCATACCATCCCCTTTTTGTACCTTCTGGACTGTCTAATAAGGAAGACATGACATATATTTTTGAAACTCAGAAAAGTCATGTCTTTTGTATTGTCTTTGAAATTACTGATTTGGTGCAGTAGACGGGATAGATGTTAATGCTTTTCAGTAATATCAACTTGCGGTATTACCCAGCCATAATGACCATATATACAAATGCACTTTTATCTTATCGTGAATGTAAATGTACATTGAACCATCTTATAACCTTCTATTTTCTTTGAGCTTGTGTCACATAACTGGATGTATTAATGACTTGTCATGTCATCTTCCTTTTCGTGAAAGTTGAAATTCCGAATGTGATGTAGGTGTCTGATTGACCCTCTTTCTGGGAAAGTAAATATTTTTTAAAAAATTCCCTTCTCTGTGAATTCAAGCATCTTGTATTTGAATGTTACCTTGCTATGGTATTTGGCTTGATCTAAGGATCTAAAATTTCACTCAATTTGGAAATTTTTTTTGGTGCATCTAATTCTCGATTGATAATGTTGCCCAAAAGTGAAAAGAAAACAATAAATAAAGAGAAAAGGATAAGTTGGATACTACATTTTTGATAAAAAGTTTCCATGTCACGACCCAAAAATGGACGTGATGGCACTCGTCTTATCCCACCAAGACAAGTAAGCTCAAAACTCAACTATTACAATAAAAATGCGTAAAATTTACTATCAACTTATATTATACCCCAAAACCTGGTTGTCACGTGTACAAGCCTCTAAAGTATTACAATCGGATCAAAAGAAAATATAAGTCTCATATGATATTGTTTCTAGAGTAGAACAAAATCATAAACAAGAGTAAGGAGGGATGCTAAGATGACCAACAACTACCTCACAAAATCTCCAGGAAGCCTCGGAAAAGAAGAGAATATATCATAAAAGTCCGGGCTAGTAACCTACAAAAATTGGTAGAGGCAAGGGGTGAGTACCAAACCACACGGTACTCAGCAAGTAAACCTCTAAACACAAGCTAAGGGGATGAAATACGGGTACTCCTACCACCCCCAACCGAACCTCCACAACTACAACCTGCATAAACATCAGCCCAACCTAACAACTCACAGTTTACATAGAACGTAACTCAACAAAAACATTTAGACAAATTACATATCCTCCACAACAACATTTTAACAAATTACATATCCTCCACAACAACACTTTAACAAATTATATATCCTCAACATCAACGCTTAAACAAATTAGATATCCTCAATATCAACACTTCCACAAATTTATATATCCTCAATAACACACTTCAACAAATTACATATCCTCAACAACAACACTTCAACAAATTATATATCCTCAATAACAAGCTCAGTATTCAACAATCACAAGTTCCGCAAAAAGGCAATCACTAGATCAGCAAAACACAATATCAAGTTCACTAATGATAAGTGTGTGCAATGTAATGGAATGCAATGTCAAGTATAATGATGCATGTCTGACCTAGTGATACACACCCGCTGTCTCTCAGTCCGGGACCCATGGGGGACATATCTGTCCATGCATCTGTCGCGGCGCACGACACGACCCTCGATAACAGTAACTATCGCGGCGCGCGATACGTCCCTCGAAATATAGTATCCATCGCGGCGCGCGATACGTCCCTCGAAATGGTACATCCTCTTTAAGTTATCATTCTTTCTCAATGCACATAACACTTTCACAACCATGTCTCAGAATAATGCAATGACATGTTCACACAAATAATGAGGAGATGACTATTTT